ACCTTGGTGACTATGGAGTTAGCGCCTATTGTATAAACCTTGGTGACTATGGAGTTAGCGCCTATTGTATAAACCTTGGTGACTATGGAGTTAGCGCCTATTGAGTAAACCCTGGCGACGATGTGACTTCGTGCCTATACTTCAGGTCAATCCTTAAGAATGAAGGATAGATGATTCTTAGGGTAGATCCTTAAGATCAATGGAGATAATGGGGATGGGTAATTGGGTTGATTGTTTGATGATTAAATATAATAAATATATTATTGTGGGTTGAAAACCCTATATGCTCACCAGGCTCCCAAGCCTGACCCACTCAGGTGTCTTTGTATCACAGGTATCGATGCGAAGACCCATTTCACTGAGAGATTATAAGAGATGTAAATCACTAGTGTAAATGAAAGTATGATATGTTTATGCTTATGTGTCTGTATCGGAACATGACATCCCGAGGTTTTATTATTAAATAAAAATACATTCTTTTTGAGAAATGTTTTGATAAGTTATTATCATATCTTGTTTTGGGAACAAATTCCGCAACTGTTTTCTTTAAACGATCACTCTGATTTATAAAACAAAGCATAAACGAATCGGTCTTTTCTGGCCGTGAAATTGGGGATGTCACAATGGTAGGAATTTGGAAATCTTGCATTTGCGGTAAGGGTTTGGGACTTTGAAATGAGAATCATTGGAATTATGTTCAATCGATCTATTTCACAAAGTAAAGATCATAGACAAACTTAGTGTGCATACTTGGTGTATGACATAACTAATGTTTGGACAAACATAGTGTGCATACTTGGTGTATGGCATGACTAGTGTTTAGAAAACATAGTGTATATGCTTGGAGCATGGGACAACTATTATTTTTAATTCAAGTATAAAGTTGATAGTTTGAAACAGTATAAAATGAATAATGTGTAATCAATATGGTGATAAATAAAAGGTGTACTATTTATATTCATAGGTTCTGAGACCATATTGGATTCGGTTATTCTTGTGTTTCACTTTGCATGTTTTGACTTCCAGAATAACTAGGTCGTTCTTCCTGAATGACTAAGTTATTCAAACCATCCACAGTCGGTCATATGTTGGAAGTAGATATGAATCAAGACTGTCATGAAGCTGGTTTGTAGATGTCCAAGGTAGTGGACATAGCAAGAGTTGCTACAACATTCATGAGTGCTCAAGAGTTCTAAGTATTGGATTAAACCCACGCTCATTTGACTCACTTGATGGATTTTATCACAAGTGATCATGAGACGATAATATCTTATATTCTTCAAACCTAGAGATATGATTTGTTGCCTATGAGTTGGTTATACATTGATTGTACGAAAACGCTTTGGTAACTCGATGTTATAAAACATGCCATTGTGTATGATTCAACAAGTAGTAGAACAAGCATATGAGTCGAAATTTATCCATTCCTTTTACCCTTTAAGGGATAAAAGCGATATCTGTGGGCCCCTCGATGATTTAGTGATGACACCCCGAAGTGCTTTGCCAAGCCTGTACTGATTTGACTTGTTCAATTAGTCGGTAGTCATAAATCGGAAATCGGGAAACAACAAATGGACAGAGAGAATGATTTTAATCCATGTCTCAGTCCATATGATATCTAGAATGGAGGAATATATGATCCCTTATCTAATGGACGCGTCATTGATTTGTTCAGAGTTCGACAGGAGCTTTTAAGAGCTACGATTGCTAGTCGGGTTTTGAAGTCATACGCAATAATAGTTTTAGACTTATCCAAGTGGGAGACTGTTGGATTAGTGTCTAAGTCCATAACTATAATTGGTATTTACTTGACCCGATTAGCATGGTCCATTTGGGTTGCATGGCATCGGAACAATTTGGATAGACTTTTGTGAGAAAATGATATTTATGATTTGTTAATATATTATAAGTTCTAATATATTAATATGAAATCATATTATTTAATTAGTATTGATCAAGGATTAATTTGGAATTAATTTTGTGATCAAAAGGTGACTAATTAAATATACGGGGATTGATTGTATAAATCATTCATTCTTATATATGTGGGCTTATGATCCATAGTTCTTCATGTTGGGCTAAATCCATGGAGTAACCCATGGATACTCCATGGAGGTTTTAACCCATGGAGCATGAAGAATATGGAAAGACATGAGTTACATGGTGTAACCCTAATAGCCACAATATATAAGGACCCCATGGCTCAAGAAATTGGCACTAGTGTGTGTACACATGAGGGCTAGCCGATTTGAGCATAGGAACCTTTTCTCTCAAGTTATTCCAAGATGTTGGTGATGTTGTGTGAACCATTTGAGGTGTCACACTTGAGGCACTAGGCTCTTAAACTCCATGGAATCAAGCTACAACAAAGAGGTATGTAATTCTACTAGAATTTATATTATATGTACGTCATATTATGCTAGTTAGAACAATACCTTGGAAAATTGATATTTGCATGTATAATAGAGAAAACATAGAGCCAAGGTATTTAGGGTTGCATGTACACCTTAGGAGTGTTAGAATGCTCAAAAACCCTTCACAAATCCCTCAAACCAAGGCTCTGATACCAACTTGTAACATCCCAAAAATCATGGCCAAAAATTTCATTTTTGATATAACGATTCATAAAACAATTTATAGAAAACATCATCAAGTTATTTCATTTCATAAAAATCATAGATCATGTGTCCCAAAAGCATATCATAATATAGTAACAATGTCAGAGTACAAATCCCAAGAATCTCATATGCGGAAAATCATGTGTGTGATGCGCTGCTACTGTGCCGACTCCTTTCCCTTCGAAGAAGAAGGACCTGAAACAAAAACTGAAAACCGTAAGCACAAAGCTTAGTGAGTTCCCCCGTCATTCCACATACCATACATAACATATACTGTCTATCATAACCGGGTACTAGCTACCCCTTCGGTCTCTTTCAACCGGTAACTTGCCTAGCATATCAGGGTGCTGGCCTACCCCTTCGGTCCTGTCGATCGGTAACTTGCCTAGCATATCAGGGTGCTGCCTACCCCTTCGGCCCTGTCGACCAGTACCTCGTCTGGCATATCAGAGTGTTGGCCTACCCCTTCGGTCCGTTCGACCGGTACCGGGGACTATTTCACCCCCTACTTCTACCATATAGCATCCTCGTGCATAAACATATAAGTCATATACTGCCTAGCTTATCCGAGTGCTGGGGTACCCCTTCGGCCCTATCGACCGGTACCGGGGTCTATCCTACCCCTTCTACCACTATCACATAACATCATAGCATACTAGCACATAAGCATAACAAATAGTGACATACCAGACAATTATCACAAAGACAATCATCTATACTATAACTCTTACTAGTGGGCTGAAATTGGTACCTTCGACCCACTTCTACTGGAAGGTAACTCACCTCAATGTCGTGAAGCAGCTAAAATGTCCTTGGTGCTGGGATCAACTCCTTTCAAACTCCTACACATAACAATCTCCTTTAATTAGTCTTTCATACTCATAACCCCTTTAACGGTCAACTCTGGTCAAAGGTCAAAGTCAAAGTCAACATCCTGGTCAAAGTTAACACCCTGGTTGACTCAACTTGCCGATTTGGCCATCAACTCGTCGAGTTCAATAATCCATAAAATCTTGAAATCTCGATCTTACTCGTCGAGTCCTTTCATGAACTCGTCGAGTTCTAAGATTCGTAAAACTCTGAAAATCCTGATCCTACTTGTCGAGTTATTTCATGAACTCGTCGAGTTCATCCTCATAGCATAGTCGGGATCTTTTACCCACAACTCGTTGAGTTCCTCCTTGAACTCATCAACTTCTTCTTCATACAGATTCGGGACATTTTGCTCATAACTCGCCGAGTTCCTCCTTGAACTCGTTGAGTTCCCCTTCAATCTTAAAGCCCAAACATGACCAACTCGCTAAGTCATCTCTTAGACTCAACGAGTCTACTCAGTAACAGAAAAGGTTGGGGGACCACGGCCTAACTCTCCGAGTCCTAAAAACAACTCGTCGGGTCCCCCATAGTCTAAATCCATACAGTCGATTTTAGTCGGGCTTAATGCATCCAAAACGTAGATCTGGCTCCCTAGGGTTGATATATCACTTAAAGTTTCTAACTTTACGTGCATGCATGGGTTATTTAGCTCAAGAAGGCCTAAAAAGTGATTCATATGATGCATGGGACTCCCATGGCCATAAAGTTGACACCTTTATGCCATGGAGTCCCTCAAAGACTCTGGATCTGAAGTTATTACCCCAAAACATGCTTGCATCCATGAATGGTTCCATAATATGCTCCATATGGCCCTAAACTACCCCTTGAAGAGATCTAGTAAACAAATAGATAAGGTAAAGACTTTATACCTCAAATGAACTGGAAATGAAGTTCTTCTTCTGGATCCAAAGCTCCTTCCCTCAACCAAGCACTTCTAGCTTCCACTCCTTTAAGAAAATACCAAAGAATCACTCCTTTTTCACTCACACACACTCACAAAGCTCAAGATCTCGAATTAGGGTTTTCTGGACTAAGAGAGGCGATGAGGGAGGACACAATGGGGTGTTAAGGTCTTTAAATTGGGTGCCAACCCTGAAAATTAGGGTTTCACTCTGGCAGCTCTACTCGTCGAGTCGAGGCTTCTCAACTCGTCGAGTAGACTTCAAGTCCCGCGTCCCAAAAAGATCTGTTTCTACTCGACGAGTTTGGGGCCTCCAACTCGTCGAGTCCCTTTGTAAAAATGAATAATTCTTATTAAAATACATACCAGGAACCGGGCGTTACAACTACCCTTGATTGACTATATGTAGAATTATACATTGTCAACTCTCCATCTCCCTGTTGAATCAACTGCAATTTCTTTTTTCTTATACACAAACACTAATTCACTTTTTATTAAACACATAAAGAAGAGAAATAGAGAGCGTAGAGATAGATAAACATACAGGGTAAGCTATTGACATGATTGAAATCCTAAAAAATATAGGATAGAAGAAACCTAGGCAAATGGGAAAATCAAATCGAGATGGCCATGATTTATGCGACAACGCACAGGGGAAGCGACAATACACCGAAGAGAGTAGCTGCTTGTTTAGTTACGTAATTACATTACACCCCACTCCCGAGTTGTAGCAAAGAAAAAAAGATAAGAGAAAAGAAAGTAAGGAGAGAAAAGAAGAGAAAATAAAGGAAAATAAATTTGTCTTTTGTGTTCCCGAGTTGGAGAGAAATGGAAGGAAAGTAAAACATTTTGTTCTTTCTTTCCAAATCGGAAGAAAAGTTAGGAGGGAAAGTGATCGTTCCAATTCTTTCCTTTAATAAAACTCGGAGCACCAATTTCTCTTACTTTCCTTTCACTTTCACCTATTTACTTTCTTTTCTTTCCTTAAGTTGAAGTCGGGAGTGGGGTCTTCGTTATTGTATGGTTGTCGATTTATAGATGAATTCAAAAGTCTCATCGTATTCTACCCTATCAAAACCTCCTAAACCAATAATCTCATATGGGGATCTTTTACCAATCAGTCGATTCCCTCTTTCAATCTGCTATATTTTGCATCCTTTTCCCCCACAATTCCAATTAGATATCAACGATTCATAACCTTACTATCCCATAATGTTAGCCTCCCCTGTTCTACAACATCCTCAAAAAGGCTCCAGAAATCTGCACCATGGATGAATCTCGGATAAAAAGAAAGAGAATGGAACTCGAGAGATGAGTGGAAAAAATCAAGAGGGGTAGGGAGAGATAAACGAACAGGGATTAAAGTACAACCACCTGAGTGAGTAATTTGCGGGCGATTTCATTACAGGCCCTCAAACTCTTAAGGCTGGCTCTGGTGATGGGTAGGCTAACTTTCCACACTTTATGAGATTAGCATTAGAGTACATTTATTAATTTTTATATTTATTTGTTTATTTGTTTCTTATTTGTTGTTGCAGGGTTATTCCAAGAAAAATGTCACCAGTTAAGGCTTAAGGGGTTTACATTGTCTTTACTAGTTACTTTTGTTATGTAATTATTCATAATCTGAATGAGCATAAAACTAAATTTGTTAAAACATTGAGTTCTTGATAGTATCAGTAATTCTAAATCTAAAAAAAGGTAGAGTATCCATCCATCTTAATTTTTTTTGTTACCTGAAAATATCATATTGAAAAAATTTAATTAATTTTTCATGGAAAAACTTGCCTTAAAAAATGTATTGGACAAATTTACCTTTATGACCTCTTACGTGTTTTGCCACATACAGGGCGTACATAACCACCGGCTTCCCTTGAGAAAATGGCAACAAAACTGGACAGAAATACATTGCCACTCTGGAGTATGTACTGAAAGTTTGTTGCTATTCTGGAGTGGATATATAAAGTTCGTTGCTATTATGTGTTGTGGTTATCATTACAGCAAAAGAAATCGGACAGATTTCACACCTATTGGACATATTTTCCCATGCAGTCAAGTTGACGTATTTGCCCTTACGATTCTGTTCTAGTACTGAAATCGATTTCCTTCCCATTCTCATCAATACAATGCAATATGGAAAATGCTATGCTGCTGTTTTTTTTTTTTTTGGATCTACAAAGTTTGTTACTATTTTCAATCTTTTCCACTAAAGCATTTCTACCTTGTTTACTTTTGAAGCTTTGGTGTCTATTGACATCTCATCTAGTCCCACCTTTTGCCTTGTATCTAAATATTAATAGGCTTTGTTGCTGCTGATTCCATGTGGAAAGGATTAAAAGTTCGTATTTTTGTTTTTGGTGACCACTTGAGTATCACATATTTGAGTTTTTTATTTTCTTCTACTGCATCCTTTAATATCAAATTGGTATTTTCCATTTACATCTTGAAGTTGTATACAAGTTGGTGCTCTAGCCTACTTACACGATTCAAAGTTCATTTCTTATTTTGGGAAAATGTAGTTCTTGGAGCCCTTACTTTGGCGACATTGTATAGTTTATGCTTCATGTTTTGGTGATGTAACTTTTTTACTCTTTGTACTTATACCACTTCTCCCCGAGTTCCCTGCTAGTTATTAGTATTATTTATAAAATGTGTTATTAACAAAAAACTTAGCAACTCCATACTCCAAAAGACACCTTGAATGAAAAGTAGTACTTGTGTTGTTTGGTTTACTAAATTTGTTTTTTTTCCTATTATCTACTATTTGTGAACTGTTCATGCTCACCAGTTGTAATTTTTTTTTCTAATAAATCTTGATTTTTTAATAAAGTTAAAGACATGTCAAATTAGATAAAATTGAATATAATATGGTAAGATTATTTAAACAGAGTGTCTTTAGATGCCAAAGATAAAAGATAATAAGATATAGCCAATGTAGTTGTTGATAAACGAGTCATATAAACCTGATAATTTGTGTCTTAGTCATAAAACTCGGTTGTATTCTAAAAACCAGGACATATAATTGTATGGCTATAAGACACAGTTGTTACATTAGAAACTGGGTTATTTTAGTAATTAATATACCCTGCTTGTATGTTGAAAGTCGGGTCCTATAAGACTCCCCCTTATAAAACCCGGTTTTTACATAATACAACCCGTTTTTTTAGAAACCGTGTCCTATGTGTCATTTTGTAGTAGTGTACAACCAAGTTTATTGGATGGGAACTGTGCTCTTTATGTTTTATATGACGTGGTTCAAAGCGGGTATCTAAGAACAATTTCACAATGAAATAAAACCCGTTGCAAAACAGGGTTATATAATTGATGACTCCAACGGGTCATGCATAGTAATGTTATGACTCCAAGATCTATAGATGTTGTTTTTAAAAGAATTAGTTTTGTCATCCAAAAATGGGTTTGCGGCACAGCTTGTTGCTTGTTTATCCACTGCGTCTATGTAAAACTTTCTTCTTATGTTTTTGCAAAATTATTTTGGTTAATAAGTTGAATAATTGATTGAACAGGGTCCTTTTAACTAAGTTTTTTTTAACGGCTAAAACACACTTTTTAAATTTTACTTTTAAACTATTTATTTGTCCATGAAAAAAATGGGGTAAATAGCATAAAAGACACTCAGTTACACCAAAATTCTAATTTGACACTGTGTTTTTTTGTCTCAAATTTGACACTGTGTTTTCCAATTTGTTACAATTCTGACCACTTGACCGTCAACCAGGTTACATGCTGACGTGGCATGATGACGTGTCAGTTTTGATGACGTGGCATGCTGACATGACATGATGACGTGTCAATATTGATTTTTTTCCACAAAAAACACTAAGTTTTCACTTTTTTTCGATTTTGACACTAAGTTTAATTTTTTCTTTCAATTTTGACACTATGTTTTTTTGTTCCAAATCGAACATCATTTTTTCCAATTTTGTTCAATGTTGACAATTTTCTATTTGAAGTCGTATAAATATTTTTTTAATACATTTAAACCGTATAAATACGTTTTTTTTTCAATTAAAAACCATAGTTTTATGTAAATACAAGGTTTTTTTTACATTCAAACCATAATTTTATGTATAAATATGCATTATCTATATAAAAACTGTATTTTAGATTAAATACGCAAGTTTAAAATGAGTTTGGAGGTTTGGAGGCGTGTAGTCGATCAAAACCCAGATGTCAAGTTTGCACCCATGAAATTTTTACATTCTATTAGAAGGTTATTGTTAGTTTGATTCTCATGATATAACTAATGCATATTTATAAATTATGCTTTGAATGTTAAAAAAAAAACAAAAAAAAACAAAACAAAACAAACAAAAACAAAAAAACCTTTGTATTTAAATAAAAATATGGTTTTTTAAAATGAAAAAATATATTTATACGGTTTAAAATGTATTAAAAAAATATTTATAAGGTTTCTAATGAAAAAATTGTCACATTGAACAAAATTAGAAAAAATGATGTTCAATTTGAAACAAAAAACATAGTGTCAAAATTGAAAGAAAAATAATTAAACTTAGTGTCAAAATCGAAATAAATGAAAACTTAGTGTTTTTTGTGGAAAAATAAAATTCAATTTCAACACATCGGCATGTCTTGTCAGCATGACACGTCATCATGCCACGTCTGTATGTAACCGGGTTGACCGATCAAGTGGTCAGAATTGTAACAAATTGGAAAACACAGTTTTAAATTTGAGATGAAAAAAAAAAATCAAATTAGAATTTTGGTGTAAAATGTTGATATTTACCAAAAAAAAATTGTAACTTCAACCCCTTAAAAATAGACATATTTTTAAACACTTGTTAGGTCAAATTTCCTTCAGTAAAATCGTATTAAGTAACTATAGAAATTTAGAGTGAGACCTTAAGATCACCATGTGCTGGATAAAATTAATGTCATGGACTAAAGTCAAAACTACAAAAATTTTAATTAACTTAAATAAGTTCCCATACGAAGTAAAGAACCCTTCCAGATCCGGTACAAGCGGACAAATTAATTACATCTAAAAACACATAATAAGAAGAAATGAAGTAAAAACCACCACGAGCATAACTGGTCCTCCGGCGGAGGCTGCAGATTCTACCAACTCAATGCTTCCAGGCGAAACCATCTCTCCAGTGTCATTGTCAACGACCACGTTAGCACCCAGCTCGAGTTGATGCTTAGATGATCCGACCCAGTACTTGAATCTATAGTTAATAACCACGGCAATCCTAATATTCACCGCCTGTATCCGACCCACCATGCCCTTATTACTAGTCTCTGCCAACGTAGATGGCAGCTGGAGGTGATCCTTGAGCAGCGTTCTCACATGACCTCTCTCTACCAGATCTTGGGTTTGCTCTTCTGAGTCAACCACCACCGTAGATGGAAATTGGAGGTCGTTCTCCTCGAGGGATCTGATATGCTTAGTCTTGCCATTACCTTGGTAAAAAGCTGGCATAGTGCCTGCCCACGCATATTTCTGGTAGGGATCGTCATATGGGTAATAAAAGAAGGCAATGCTTAATGGGTCATCGTAGTAAAGACCGATTGCCTTATTCATATTTCTTAGTTTAAGATCGAAATAGATGTTTCCGGTGGGCTGGTTTGACGAGTTGTTGAAGGCTGGAACCGAGAATTCCTCTATAGAGAGTTTCGGGGGGTTTGGAAATGAGTATAAACATAAAAGGATGATTGCCGCGACGGCGACCATGAGATTGAAAGTCAAAGCAGCACAACCGCTATCGCTCATCTTGAGAGGGAAAATTTAAGATATTTTGTAGATGAAACTTCGAAACAGGATTATTCCATTATTTGTAATACCAGTATATATTCGTTCAGAAAAGCAGATAAATTTATAAATTCCATTTTTAATACTTTTATGTGGACTACATCACGCTCCTAATGTCTACCCGGTTATTAGTTTTTTATTTTATAAATAATATTACATCTATTTATTGATTATAATATTAATACTAAATGACAAGTGTGTAATATATAATATAAATAGAAGAGAGAAAATTCATGAAATAACCAAAAGTTAGCGGTGTTTTAAGGATTTAACCATGAAATTTTGTGTTTTGGAAAATGACCACGAGATCCGCAGAGGGGGCTCTGCAGATCCCATTAATCATATGATTAACAATGCACAGTACTGCGGAAATGACGTGGCACCACTAAATGACAAAAAAAAAATCGTGGCTAAAATGGTTCCGAAGAGGTGGCTCTGCGGATCCATTGTATACCTCTGCAGATCTATAATATCACTGAGGAATTGGTTGGTTTTGGCAATTTTTCCTATTTTACCCCGTTTTCGATGGTTCCTCAGAGGATTATAGCGATCTGCAAATGTGTACAATGAATCCGCAGAGCCACCTCTGTGGAACCATTATAGCGACAAATTTTTTTGTCATGTAGTGGTGTCATGTCATTTCCGAAGTACTGTGCATTTTTCCTCAGAGGATTAAAGGGATCCGCATAGCCCCCTCTGCGGATCTCGTGGTCATTTTCCAAAACTCAAAATTTTATGGTTAATTCCTTAAAACACCCCCTAACTTCTGGTTATTTCATGAATTTTCTCTAACATATATGCTATTAATCAATTGATAGGGTTGACTAGACTGGGTTGACACAGTTGACTTAGTGGGTTTGACCAATTGACTTTGACTTTGACCAAGTTTGACCGTGAGGGTATTTTGGGTATTTTGGGTATTTTAGGATTTTGATGGAAATTGGTCATTTGGTGGAAATAGGTGTCGGTTAGAGAGCTGAGATTCAGAGTCAGGACCTTATCAACTTCTGTTCAGTTTGCAAGGTGAGTTTTCCTCACTGTACTTGTGGGTCGAAGGCATCAATGCCGGCCTCTTTGGATTGATATCCTGCTATGCATGCTATTGTGCTGTAGTGATCTGTTAGATCGGTATCCTGATATATCAGATGTTGTTATGCTTAGTGAATAGTTGATATGTCACTTGTCTGTTGGGTGACAATATGTTTATATGTTATGTATATATGCACATATTTGGTTGATGGTTGAGGCTTTACTGCTTTATGCGCAAGCCAACAGAATGGAGGCATTCCAACCCGATAGTTGAGTGGGCCCGAGGGTATTCCATCCTGAGGATGACAAGACCCGTTGTGTATTGGCATTCCAATCCGATGGTTGAAGGGTCTGGGGTATTCCAACCCGATGGTTGACTAGACCCGACATGTTGTTATTGTATATATATGTTATTTGGTTATGTGTTGGTATTTTGGGGAAAACTCACTAAGCGTTGACTTACAATTTTGGGTTATGTTTCAGGTACTTCAGAGGACCGCGGGAAGGCGAAGGCGTGACTGCACACATCCTCATGTTTTGGATATATGACTTTAGGAACTCTGATGTTGAAATGCTTTTGAAACTATGTTTGTAAACAATTTGTGAATTTGGTTGGTTTTAAAAAGTTTAAATTTATCATGATTTTTATGAGTGTTACATATATGTATTTAATCATATGTGATTAAATACATAGAATCAAACATGATTTATGTGATTATATACATTCAATCACATTTGGTTGTATGTAGTAGGAGGTAGTGGTATGGTGGAGATGGGTGGTGGTGAAGGTGGGGGAGGGTGGTGGGGGTGGGGGTGACAGGTGGTGGTGGTGATGGTGGTTGTGGGTGGTGAGCGATAGGGGTCGTGGGTGATAGTTGGTTTATTGTAGTTGTGGGTGATAGGTGGTGGGGGTGACAGGTGGTGGGTGGGTCGGTGGTGGATGTGTTGATGTGTGGGTGATGTAGGGTGGTGGATGCATGTGGTAATGTTGGTGGTGGTGGTGGGTGGTGTTGGTAGGTGGTAGGTGGTAGGTGGTGATGATGTTTGGGGTGGTAGTGGTGGGTAGGTGATTGTGGTAGTGGGTGGTGATGGTGGGTGGTGGTGGTTAGTGGTGAAGGGTCGTGGTGAGCCTGGTGGTGGTGATGGGTGGGTGGTGGCAGGTTGTGGATGCAGGTGATGATGGATGGTGGTGTATGATGGTTGGTATTGGTGGCAGGTAGTGGTTATGGTGGCATGTGGTGGCGACGGGTGGTTATGGGAGGTGGTGTTGGTAGGGACGATGGTGGTTGATGGGTAGGTGGTAGTGGTGGTTGGTGGGTAGGTGGTAGTAGAAGTGATAGGGTGGTGGAGGCGGGTGATGGTGATTGGTGGGTGGTAGTTAGTGGTAGTGGCAGGTAGTGGTGTTGATGGTGGGTGATGGTGGGTAGGTGGTGGTAACGGGTGGTAGTTGGTGGTAGTGACAGGTAATAGTGATGATGGGGGTGGTGGTGGATAGGTGGTGGTAGTAGCGGGTTGGTGGTGGCGGTGATGGGTGGTGGCAGGTGATGGAGATGGGTGGTGGTGACGGGTGGTGGTGGAGTCTGGTGGTGGTAGTGATGGGTGGTGGTGGTTGAGGATGCTATTACGATGGTTAGGTGGGTGGTGGGGGTGGTTGGTGGTTGGTGATGGAGGTCGTGGTGGGTGGTGGTGGGGATGGTGGTGGTTAATGGTGATGGGTAGGTGGTGGTGGTGGTGGTGGGTGATGGGGTAGTGGTGGTGGGTGATGGGTGGTAGCAGGTGGTGGAGGTAGGTGGTGATGGCGGGTGGTTGGTGGTGGTAGTGGGTTGTAGGTTGTGGTGATAGGTGGTGGGTAGTGGGTAGTGGGAGGATGGTGGTGGTAAATGGTAGGTATGGTGATTGGTGGGTGGGTGGTGGGTTGTAGGTGGTGGTGGGTGGCGGTGGATGGTGATGGTAGTGGTGGGTCTTGTTGGTTAATGAGTTTTTTTAATTGTTTTTAACTACTTTTTGATTTATATGAATATTATTTTATAATTTTAACTAAAGAAAATTATATGGTCCAAATTCATATATGATAACGTATATTCATATATTAATAAGTATATAAACAAGTGATTATTCATATATTAATTTGGAGATCGTGGTTGGTGGCAGTGGTGGATGGTTGTTAGTGTTAGAGGTTGTTATGGTGGCAGAGGTGGCAGTGGTGGTGGTTGATGACGGAAGGGAAGTGGTTGACTCATATATGAATATACTTACATTTATACTAATATATGAATATTCCTCATCATCCGTCACGCCAGTACGACGAAGTGTTTTCCAACAAAAATAAATGATTGAATGAGAAACAGTCCTTCATTCTTAACATTTAGTTCTCTCTCTCTCTCTCTCTCTCTCTCTCTCTCTCTCTCTCTCTCTCTCTCTCTCTCTCTCTCTCTCTCAGGCCCAGTCCTTACCTATCAGAGGCCTTATGTGAAAATCAAAGTGAGGCCCCATAAAAATTTTCTTGTAAAATATTATTAAGTATATGCTACCACTAAATTCAAAACTCAAAGTTGCTAACAAACATCTTGTAAATTCATTACCGTAACATTATATCTTAACTCATTAGATGTTCCAGTTTCTATGATTATACATGTTCACTGGAATATCTTCTTTGTCATCATCATTAGTTCATTAGCATTCAAGGTTGCTATGTCTCCATCTACACAATGTATATCTTCTGGCACTTGCAGTTCAACTTCTTATTCTCTAGGTTCTTCCAGGACATCATGAACCTCTTCTCTATCTTTTTCCACAACTTCATGAACTTTATCCATGTTTTGTGGCACATGTAATTCAACTTCTTCTTCTCTATGGTCTTCCTCAACTGATTCTTCATTAAGATGGTAAAGCTATAAAGCATAGTGATAGAGTGATAAAGAAAATTCACAAGATACTATACTATGGGAACCTTATATACCAAAACATTGAAAAGATAAATCTATAAAGCATATTGATAGAGGGCTAAACGCAATTCAAAGGACATTATACTATATAAAGGAAAAACCAAGAACATTGTTTTTTACTTTCTCTACTTCATTATTCATAAACTTTATTATGAATTCATAAATAAACCATTCAAATAATCAATAAAAAAAAGATCATTTAGCCTGTGAGAGAAAGAAGTAAGTACAGTTCGGTTTTAGGAAATATAAAGAGATAAGTGATAATAAGTTGTAGTTAGAGAGTCGGTTAGAGCACTAGCTTAGAGGAGGACAAGAGGATTACCAACAACTCAAAGAGATATGAAGATTCAAGATAGAAAAATGGCATTTCCGACAAAAGAGATTGGCAACACCGATGATCTACCAATTTCGTTATGAGGTTTATTAAGGTTTGATCTTTTAGTGAGTTTTGTGAAAATTATAATATTTTCTTGAACTTATATTAGAAACATGTATGTGTTGTTTTGATAGATACTTTCCTTGAATTGTTGAAAAATTATTGAATTGATGATAACATTTTGATTTTTTTTAATTTTGTTGATTTTTTTCACATTAAAATTACAACCAAAAATTACATTTTGTAACCAACTAACTATAAATTACATAAAAATGTTACGAAAAAACCAACACCAAAACTATATATTGTCCCTAAATTTGGAAGCCTTAAAATTAGAGGCCCTGCGACCGCACCACTCACACATCCAATGGCTCCTCTCTCTCTCTCTCTCTCTCTCTCTCTCTCTCTCTCTATATATATATATATATATATATATATATATATATATATAGGTCGACCAAAATGTCATAAATCACATGCCAGCAACTAATCAAAGCCTCACATGCTAGTTTTATAATAGGGAAATACCGGCAATAGTCAAAAAATAGGAGGTATTTTCAAAAAATAGACACAAAAAATTGGATTTTCGGATATAGACATGGAATCCGTGG